TCATTTTTGGTAAAAAGTGATATTCTTGACTTGTTAAAAACCGCAAGTCCATTTGCTTTGATATTACATATATAGGTACTACATGTGGTTCTCTATAAGATTTGTTCATTTTGTGATGATATCTTTAATTCTCTAATTTTGGTGAATATTTTTAAATTTTTGGTAAAAAGTGATATTTTTGACTTCTTGTTTAAAACCGCAAGCCCAATTGCTTTGATATTACATATATAGGTACTACATTTGGACCTATCTCAGATTTGTTCATTTCGTGATGATATCTTTAATTCTCTAATTTTGGTGAAGATTTTTGTGATTTTTGGTAAAAAGTGATATTTTCGACTTCTCGTTAAAAAACGCAAGTCCGATTGTTTTTATATTACATATATAGGTACTACATGTGGACCTCTTTCAGATTTATTAATTTCATGGTGATATCTTCAATTATCTAATTTGTCATTTTGGTGAAAAGTGATATTCTTGAATTCTTGTTGAAAGTCCCATTGCATTGATACTATACATATTGTTCATTTTCTAATGATATCTTCTGTTCTTTTATTGAAATATGCATTGCTAACAGCTGAGCTATCTCAGCCGACTGGCTGCTTGTTTTATATGGATCCCATCTGGAAAAACAAATTAAAAATACATGTAGCTTCCAGCAACCATCTCATTCCATTGTAAGATGGTCTATTCATAGAAATACATTTAGTAGTATCTCGTAATTAAGTTATTTTATTCTTAATATAATTATCTTTTTATTCAATTCAGAGCATGGTGGCCATGGATACGACAATCGTTACAAATCTATGCACCCATTCTTCATCGCTCATGGACCAGCCTTCAAAAGTAACTTTACTTCCAAGCCGTTCAATAACGTTGATGTCTACCCGCTGATCTGCCATATTATGGGTCTTCAACCTGGTCCAAATAATGGTAGTTTAAATGTAGTGAATGATATGCTAATTGCCTCAGTCATACCAGTAGTACCTGCATTCTTTCCATATCACTTGAAACTTTCTCAAAGACTCATCATCGGTAAGTTTCATGGGTTGATAATTAAGGGCATGGCACCTCCTGTATAGATGTGAGAATACTAAATTATTCCGTACTAAATTATATGTTAGTTTTTGTTTGTGTATTTATTTTATACAGCTGTTTTTAAATGTCTACTCTCTTGCTTCTTTAGCTTATTTTTGTTGTTTTCCAGGGATAGTATTATGGTTCTCATCTACCAAATCACAATGTCAGTTTAGAGTAAAACATTTGGAAATTAGTTCTATCACAGATTACTGTAAAATTTCTAATTTAGGCATCAGTGAATGAATGACGTTAATTTAGTTCTAAAGTAAGTGTCATGAAATGTTGAAAAATTACAGCCAACCAAAAAAGTATTAGTATTTTCGTATGACAAAAAAATACTTAATATATTTAATGTAATATGCATTCATTTTTTAATTTTGTTAGTATATGGAAAGTATCCTCTAAAAGAAGTTGCAAATAAAACCACAAATGCATTGCTTAGTAACAAATATTTGATCATGGTGTCGGTAGAGTAAACTGGTCATGTCGTGTTTCACAAATGAATAACTTACTGTCTTCTGAAGCGATGCAATAGTTGATCATTACTCAGTATTGATTATAATATACAAAAAAATGAAAAAAAAAAAAATTGTCTCACTGTAAGCGAATGTTTACTGTCAAATGCAAGCATTCAATGTGATACATTATCCGCCATGTTTTTGCCGCCTTCGTATGTTAGAAATCCTGGATGCAAAAGTTTAACCCAAACCCTGTTTTTTAGCTCTGCTGTCGACTTTGTTGAGCAGAGCTTATCATACATGTATGAGTGATTGTCCGGCGTCGTTCGTGTCAATGTTTTACTTTTTCGACTTCTTCTTGAAAACTACAAGCCTGAATGCTTTGATACTTTGTGTATATGTACCTTGGGTAGACCTCTCTCAGATTTGTTCATTTCATAATGATATCTTCAATTCTCTAATTTTGGTGAATATTTTTGGTAAAAAGTGATATTTTCTTCTTGTTAAAACCCACAATTATTTGTGGTGAAAAATGATATTTTTGAAACAGCAAGTCCCATTGCATTGATACTATGCATATTGTTCATTTTCTAATGATATCTTCTGTTCTTTAATTGAAATGTGCATTGCTAACAGCGGAGCTATCTCAGCTGAGAGGCTGCTTGTTGATATATACATGTATGAATATATATATATATGTAATTGTTTTTTTTTTATTATTCTTTGTTATTCAGCCATCATCTTTGCTGGATCCATCGCCTTAATAGCAGCCATACTTTTGACTGGAATGTGTGTGCGTCAACGCAAGTATCGTTTGAAAAACTACCGTCCTGATCTCCCAGCCACCAACTATGAGGGCAGCAAACCACTTTTATCTGAGCAAGATGAAGATATTGCATAAAAGTAAATGAGAAAATAAATAGTTTTTGGAGCAAATAACACAGTAACTGATCTGTTAGCTCCATATTTTAAAGTTGATGTTGAGACAGAGGAGACAATTATTCTTTTTATGATGAAGATGTCTGGGTATTTTTATCATGCACTGAGGGAGTGAAACGACACACAGGACTGACTGCAATTCCTTTTATCTCCCGTTCTCCCAAACTAAGGGTCTGCTTTTTTCATTGCCAGAACATTCCTTTTAATATTATCCACGAAAGCCAACCAGTCGTATTGTAACACTGAGCCAAAATAAACTTTGTGGTACCACACATGGGGGGAATTTTTAGGAAGTAATTAGCAACAAAAATGAATTTCTTTGCTATTTGCATATTTATTATAAATATATGCCATGTAATATCACCATGTGTTTTCTCTTTTGATTCGAGAAAGTTTATTTTGGCCCAGCATTACATTGTTTCTTGATGGAAGATGTCTGCTTATATAATACTTGCTGCTATATCTATCATGGACAGGTTGGAATTTTTACTTATTTTTAAATTCCTTGCATTCCATATTCATAATCTCGAAAATATATTTACATTTGGGAATAACAAATTCCAAATTATTGTAAAAGCATTAATTTACGTTGTAATTTACCAGTTTGCATTGGATTTTAATTAAGTGGATTTTTCAAAATATTGAAATTAAAGTCTGATGAATAATTAATGCATTTACAATAATGTACAAATTAATATATATAGTCTAAAATTAACATATTAAATTATTCACAATGTTTTTAATTAGCTATTATATATAGATTTTATTATCTGGATTGTCTAAAAACCATGTATTAAAATAATTATATATGCAGTTTTCATCATAATTTGATGAAAAACAATTCTCCAAAACACAGTTTGTCTCTTTAAATGCCTTTAAGTAATTATATAGTTGTTTGGTTGCTCGCATTCATATTGCCAAATATTTAATAATAAAAACTGATTGAATAATTGTTATGATTTTTATTATTCAGTTGTTTTAGCTTGTAATGTATACTTAAATTACTCCATCCACCGCAAGTGTATCCATAATTATTTGTATTTTAGAAGTGAATCTATGAACTTGAACTTAAAAGTAAATGATGTGTACAGCGAGTGTAAATGATATATGACCAGGAATACCGCTGACCCCTGTTGGTTTTCTTTTCACCATTCCTAATCACTTTAAAAAAAATGAAATACTCAGTGTACACTTATAACATATTTGTTACATGTGCTTATGTAATTTCCAGAGGTGTTTCTATTGAACTATAGTGTCACAGCTTTGTTGCATTTCACACTTATAATCCTAAAATTGTGTTTTTTAGATTTTTGATTAGTGTAATCAATTTTATTGCGATCTAGTTAGCTATACATGTACACAGTGCTTATCTTTATTACTTTTAATCTATTTGTGTCATTAATGTTTTAACATGTCTTTTTAATAATATTTTGAAAACTCTTTTATCTTTTTTTTTCATTTTACTTTTTAAACTTTACCTGTCTTCTCGCATTTGTATTTGTTCTTAGCTAAAATAATTCAAAATATACATGTATATGAATAATTATTTTATTTGCCACTAAATGCAGATAAAGGACACTTATCCCAGCTTAAGAGTGTTGTGAACTTTTCGTAGACATTGCTTATATTTCTGAACCAAATTGTTTAATTTAAGTCTGCTGAAAATCTTGTGTGTTTTATGTTGTTGTTGATGTGATTGTATTGTTCATGTGCAACAAATAACGTTTTAAAAAAAAATTGCTTTTAACAAATTGTTTATTTATTGACTGCCATTTTATGTCTTTCAGAATGTTTTTAACCAACAACTGTTTGTTTTGCCTTAGAACAAATTAACATAATCAACAATTTATATATCCTAACTAACTGTAAGGTATTCTGTTTTGATGTCATTTTGGAATGAAAAATTATATATTTTGAAAACATTTTGCTTACGTTGCACTCTGAAATAAGTTGTATTGACCCCAATGTGAAATATTGGACTAGAAAATATGTCACAGAGTGTTGGCAGTCATTTTATGTTTTGTTCAAGTTTCATGTGCCAATGTTTTTGAATAATGTTCAAACATGATTGACTTCTGTCCCGAATTACAGTGGTCTGTGGCAATGCGATAATTCTTGAATGAGTGTTTAACTTTAAGGTATATGAGACTAACATTAGTTTTGTATCTGATACAAATGTTTGAGTTAAAGATTTGAAAAAAGTTATATTTTAGTTCCATGGTTAAGTATTACAAAATGTTTTTGCATGTGACCGCTACTGCATACCCACTCAAGCATGTTTGCTATACTGTTTGTGAAATTATTGCGGTATTTGATTATTTAACTATTATTTAGTTAAGATTGTTCGAATTGAAACAATGATTTTGATGCACCTTGCTTTGCAGCTTTTCAGATGTTGTCATTATACTAGCAAGTTAGGTCTCAATAATTGTTTGTGAATAACTAGTTAAGTTGGATGTTCATCACATCCACGTCTGTCGCATGATATGATTGACTGCCATTAACAGTACACACAAACAAAAACAGAAATCACAAACATGCTGGAGTAATAGCATACATGTATGGCAGTGGCCAGACTTATTTCTATTTCTCTGTTTTATCTAATTTAGCGGAAATAAATAACCACAATTGTGGTATTTTCAAACTGTAATATAGAGATGTTTATAATAACATTTTATTCAAATTTCAAATGCTGTTCAATCCTTACATTGTGTAAAGTTGAATAGGCGGGTGTTAACAATTACTAAGTACCAGTATATAAATATAATGGTCGCGGAACTGTGATCACGTTACGATTAATCAACTTTATGATGAACCTATTTTTCAGTCTCAATACAATGTAACAAATTATAGATTGGACATTATCTAAAGATTTTTACGCAGTATGGTAAATTTTTATTGAATTAGCCCATGTGGCTAATAAAGTATGATAATAAGAGCCAATTGGATTTCAATTAGCATTTTCTTAGTGACAATTGGGCAGCACTATCTTGTATAATCCAGTTACATGTATGCACTACCAATTATAATTTAGGTGGCTAATTTGTATAAATTTTATAGTTGTATAATCTTTAGAAGTTAGCTTTTAAATCTATGCAGGGGATGTATAGTGATGGTGTTATTCGGGTGACTCTGCCTACATCCCGTCTATGTTGTATGACTGATTGTATAGAAACCTACACCAGTCTTTAACCATAGTTAATGATATAGCCTGGTAACCAGAATACATTTTGTACCCACTCTTTATATTTGTCTGGATTTTCTGCTGAAATTTTACTGATTAACTTGTAAATTTATTTTCCAATGTTCTGCAGATTAAGGCAGTTACACTTTCGCTACTGTGGCTACTATCAGTAGATGAAAAGAAAACGTATAACTGTCGATCATTATTTTGAAAATTAGCATATTTAAATCAGCAATGTGCTATATTTATCAACCAATATAAATAACTGTCAATCTCTGACCTGGGAGATGAAATCAAAACAGAAATTCCAGACTAGTTACCAGGTCATGGTAGAACAGTTCCTATTTTAAACAAACTGTTTATTCTGCAGCTTGAAGCTGGCAGCTGCAATTATGTTTTGGAATTGTCATGTGACATAATTGATGGTATTAATGTATGCAAATTGCAGCACATATTTGAGGAATCATCATATTTCCAAGTTACTCAGGCTGATCACTGTATTTGTGAATTCAAACATGGTTTACAAAAGCTATCAAAAGACATTTTGCAATGCCAGCCAGCTTTTTGATTCACCCAAATATTTAGGACATATTACCTGCAATTCGCACATATTCATACCATATAAATGTGCCGCCTGAAAATTCAACTACAATAAGCCAAAAATAACAGTCTTGCAAAAAGCAAATCAACAAATAAATAAATAAATTTTATGCACATTTACTGTGTTCTGTACTCTGTTCTTGGTCAGCTGCTTAACATGTCGCGCTCTTTCAGCCCTCAAGAGGGGGGAGGGGGAAGCATGTTGTAGTTTACCCAACAAATTTAATAGTTCTGTTCTGAAACAACGGTGTTTCCTCAACACTAGATACATACAAAAAAAGCTATGAACATTATGTCATATCCTCTTCGTTCGGAATTTCTCCTGATAACATTTCAACCAGTCTAGGGTGTGCCTTGTATAATTGATAATATCAATGAATCTAGGGAGTCAAACATATTGTGTCCATATTTTTTCAACCACTATAGTGAGTTCAATAGATTGTACCATGATGCACCGTCCCTTGAGGGACGGTGCATGATGTAATGAATTCCACCACTCTATAGAGGGCAGTAGATTGTGTTCCTCATACAATTGAAACCTGTGTTTGAGTACGGTAGATTGTACCTCCATTATGTTAATAATGGAGTGCGGTAGATTACATCCCTGTAAAATTTCAACCAGTCAAGGAAGTCTAATAGATTATAACCCCTTTCCCCCACTTATGGTAAATAATTCCATCATTCCATGTAGTACAATAGATTGCGTACCTGATATAATCACAACCAATTGAGTTCCCCTTATACAATTGTTTTACATGGTTTCTATAAGCAAATAAATGCATGTATATCCCATGGTTTATTGTTGTATTATTGTAGGCAATAATTTTGCCAGGCGAGGGCGCTCTCACACGTTAAAGCGGAGGGGTCGTCACCTGCGCACGCGCGGGAATTGAGTCCCAAGCGACGATAACAACTCATGCTAAAAACACAAAGGCTTATGAGTAGACGCTTGTTTTTAAAAAATGACACGCGACGCATGCGTAGATGACGACTTTCCCCCACTTTGACAGAGACCCCTTAGTTTTCCTTCGTGCATCTGACTCCTTTGTTACTACATACATATTTGCGTCCAGGCGTTTAATAGAGCTTTCTACTAGTCTTTCTGTGTGTCGAGATCTACTGAAGTTGACTACGACTCCAACCAGCATTCTTTAACCTTCACCATGCACCATAGACCCTAAAATCATTTTTAGGGTCTATGTTTGAATGCAACAAACCCTGTTTTACCGCCAAATGCTCTACATGTGGGTAACAGCGCCACAAGTATTGAAAAGTGGAAAATATAGAAGCAAGTTTGGAGCAATTATATCACTCATCTACAGAACCAAACTCCCCATGGGAATTGAGCACAGTGCACTAATCAGCTTTCAATGAACTTAGTCTAGAACTGGTACACTCCAAATAAGGACCTGGAAAAATAGTGTGATCACATCACATCATGTGAAACCCGCAGAACAAGTCAGGCAAAGGAAACAATAAAGAGTTATAAG